GGCTCTGTCCAAGGTCTCCCGAAGTCGCCTCTCCTTCCCAGTGCTGTTCCAGCGCCAGGACGCTCTCGTCTGTCCCCGGGTAACTTAATTATTTTCTGCTCAGTTGTGGCGCTCTTCCTGCTCCTCCGCTCGGGTGTTTCATCACCACTTGGATTTAAAAGCGGCAGAATCAGTCCCCTGGTACAGGGAGCCATAAGGCAGAAGACGGAGCTCTTTCTGTCACCGTCGATGGTGTTTTGTCAGTCTGGCAGGCTCTGCGAGTGCTGTGCTTCCCCCTTTTCTGCTGTCTTTGCAGAACTGTGGCCTTGCAGGATAGAGGCCTCCGGGGCAGAACACTTGGAGCTGCAGAAATATTTATACTTTTTTTTTCTCTCTAGATCTGTTTAACGGTAAAACCTGTAAGGTTTGAGTGACAGCTCAGTGGAAGTGATGCAGTTTGTTTTGAGGGTAGCAGGGCACAGAACAACTTCCTGGTAGCTTTCATGTTTAAGGTAACTATTGAACTTATGGAAGGAACAAGGGAGTGAGAATCTTTCTCTTAAACATGGAAGTGCATATACTTGTGGCTCCTGTACCTGACTCTCATTTGCACGTCAAATTCAGTCAGCTGTGTGCTTTGGAAGCCTCAGCAAAGGTTGGATCTTGCTTCTTTGTACGCACACACTTAGTGCAACTGTTGAAGGGACAGGGGTGCTGCAGGCATGCCCAGGCTGCCTGGCTGGGAGCGTGCAACAAGGAGGGGAAGGGTACAAGAGCCTTAATCTTGCAGCAGTCCTTTCCACCTCCCCCTCGCCCCGGTAACTTCAGCCTTCTGCTTTGTAAGCAAGTGCTGTGAAGAGCTGAGTGAGCATTTGTATGGTAACAAAATGTTCAGGAAAGTAAATGCTGCTTTTTTTTTTTTTTTTTCCCCAGGGAAAATACGCAAAGTTTAGTCCTAGAAACAATCCACACATCATAAATGAATGTATTAGCTCACTAAATAATTTGGGTTTATTCCTAACTCCGTTCCCAGTGCAAGTCAGAATGCATGCTGCTTGACAGATTTGCACCTTTGCTGTCTTCTGAAGTTAAGATGAGAGGACGGGAGAACAAATAGGATGCCGTAAATAGCTGACACAAAGTTAAGCTTCTTCGAGCATGCAAAAGCCTTCTTTTTTAACTGGTTTGGGTTTTTTGAGGCTAAAATCATTATTTGGTTTCATCTTTTCTGCATGTATGTCAAATTTGGCATGTATGTGGGTAGAATGAAACTAAAGTCTCTGTGTCAGCTCTGGATGAAAGAACACACGCTTGATTAATTTCTGTTTAACTTCTTTAAGAAATTCAAGCCATTTTAATCCTGCAGAGCTCTGAATCTTGGCAATGGTTTTTGTTACTATTAAAAAAGTAAATGAACGTACTTAATTGAATTGAAGTTTCTTAACTTCATATGGACTAGAGGGGACTTATAAAAATTACTAAATTTTTTTTTAAAAAAAAGGGATTTCTTCCAAGAATGGAATATACTAAAATCTGGTTTTTATTCACAAGGTAGTTGCACAGGACACAGGAAGAGTCTGAATAGAACTTCAGACCATGGCAGCACGCTGGAGAAGAATCCTGATAATATTTGTGGCAGCTCAAGTACTGTTTGTGGTAAATACCTTTGAGGAAGAGGATGTACCTGAAGAATGGATTCTTCTTCATGTTGTTCAAGGGCAGATTGGAGCAGGAAACTACAGCTATTTGAGACTAAATCATGAGGGAAAGATAGTCCTTCAGATGCGGAGTTTAAAAGGTGATGCAGACTTGTACGTATCTGATATGACGCTTCACCCCAGCTTTGACGAGTACGAGTTACAGTCTGTGACTTGTGGCCAAGATGTCGTCCACGTGCCCGCACACTTCCGCCGCCCCGTGGGAATCGGGATTTACGGTCACCCCTCCCACCTGGAGAGCGAGTTTGAAATGAAGGTCTACTACGATCGGACAGTTGTACAGTATCCGTTTGGCGAGGCTTCTTACAACCCCGAGGAGATGGAGGCGAACCAGAAATACTCACAGTCTACAGAAGATGAATCTCAGGATGAGGAGTCTGTTTTCTGGACTATACTTATCGGAATCTTGAAATTAATACTTGAAATTCTTTTTTAAATTGATACACACTGGACTAAGTCACACTTCAGCCTGTGAAATTGAACACGAATGACTTGCCGTAATATTTAATACTCTTTGTTATGTTTTCTGAAGAGATATTCAGGTTAGATTTCCTAAACCAGAAAGGAAGTGGGGGGAAAAAGCCATATTTAATTTTATATTGTAAATCCTCCCCTACGTGTAAAATGAGTGGCGAGAACAGTATTCGCAGTGTTCTTCAGAGATCAGGGGTTAAAAATGAATGTACAGATGGGATCTTGTTAAATTCACTTTAAACAGGTGCTTAGGAAAATCAACTTCAATTCAGTATTTTCTATGTTTTTTTATAAAGTGAAATAAACTGCTGCACTTCACTGCCCCCTCTCAATTTAAAGCATATTTAAAAATCAAATCTGCTTCTTTTATGAGCAGATATCTCCAGTCAAACTAATTAGCAATGGGGTTTGAGCGTATTCAAGTTAGGAGCCTAGGGTGAAGGAAGGAAAACCAATCCATCACCCAAGGGGACGGATGATCTGTATTTTGGCTGCATGTGCTCTGCACGGCGCCAGCCATCTGGCAAGGAGAGCTCTGTCCAGCCGCTCATCCCCTCTGCAAGGCCGTGACCTGATTCGAGCGCGTGTTGCTCCTCCACTGTTCCTGCGGGGAGAGGAAGCCTTCAGCTGTCCTTACATGTCAGTACAACATTTTCGTCCCTCATTAAAGGCAGCGCAGCATAGTCTCTTGAACTTGAGGCGTTTTCTTACACCTCCCTTTATAGCTTTCTGTGATTGATTTTTTTTTTTTTTTTTAGTACATCTTTATGATTAAGTCATTAGCTTCCAAAGAAAAAAGAAAATTTCTGCTGAAAGGGAGTTGCAGTACATTGTAAGGTCAGGTCATGCCTACTCTTCCTTCAAAGTTAGTTTTTGCAGTATTCTTTGCTTTGGTTGAGTCTTTCAGAATAAGCAGTTGCTATGCAAGTAGCGTGTATTTAAACGGCTCCGTAATTTTCTCTTAACAGAGCTTACTGATGAGCACACCGAAATAAACAAGTACGTTACTATGACTTTGTACAAATGGTGCACGTACAATTTAAATTTCATTACTGACAGCCTTCTCTTTCCGAGTGCGAACTGGGCTTGTCTATCTCTATCTAGACAGGATACGATTAGTGACTTATATCACAAAAAAAAATCATTATATAACCAAAATTAAAAGTTTATTTGGTAAAAAGAAAAAAAAAAAAGTGGTATTGTTCCTCTTAGAGTGGTTGGTTAAATAGCACCAAAGTATCACTTTAATTTGTGCAGTTAAGTTTTGGACAGCAATTTTGGGGGTTTTTAGCCCTCCTTGCTGTTTTTCCCCCTTCTTCCTCCTCTTCTGGGTACGGGAGGGTCTTTCTGACAACAATCACAAATCCAGCGACCTAAGAAAAGAAAGTTATCAATTACTGGGAAACTAACTTCGTTAGTCACTCATCCAGTTACGCACCTTTCACCACTCTAATAGGTGCTCATCTATTTGCAGTACTTCCTTTAACGTTAACAACCAGTGCTTTCCTCTGAGACGTAAGGATCTTTTCTAAAAGGTACAGAAAGCAGCGTATATAAATTCACCCCCCCTCGTGGACTTAGCAGCTCGTCTGTATGGAGATCAGGAGGTGGCAGCGCTGCCTGGGAGGGGGCCGTTAGAAAAGAACCTGACCCACCATGTTTGAGGTTGCGAGTTACATTTCCCTGTGAGCAACTGCAGTTCAAGGCCGTGGGCAGCGACTCTGCACAGAAACGAGCGGCAGGCGGGGAGGGGATGCTGCTGTTCTGCCACAGGTACGGGACCCCATTTCCCAAACCAGTGTCACTTTTGTCAGTGCACTCGGGCAGCACAGATCAAGCTGCTGGCAGGGTTTCGTCACCAGACCTTGTGCTAAAGTTCAGTTACAGTAAAGGCTTGAACAAAGAGCAGAAGCATTTAACTGTTTCTATTACAACAGCCGGAATCATAAAGGCTGCTTCGGTAATTTTGTAGGCATGTAATCTGTTTTGTTTAGATTCTGTCCTTAGGCCAGCCTGACAGTTAAATCGGCCACGGGACCTGTACTGAAGTGACAGGTGGCACCAGTGCTTCCTGCAACGGGAATGTACAGCGTGTCTGAAGTGCTGTAGTTCCAGGAATACTGTCACTGCAGAACGTGCAGCCACTGAATACTTATTCACCATAGATCCAGTATCACATGAGAAGTTACAGTACTACCAGCTGTTTTCTTTACACTGCTTTGAGTTGGCCAGGTGGTACGAGTGCCCCTGTGATTTAAGGGTACAGGCTGCCTGACATCTACTTCCAGCTTTGATATTTAAGAAAAAGATGGGAAGGAAGGGGTTTAAAAAGGTTTTTACAGATATTAAATTGAGCATACTTTTTAATTGAGAAACTGAAGTAATAGCACAAACTTTATTAATGTGAAAGCTACACTCCAGCAATATGCAGCAATACAGCCTCTTTACAGGTTTCTTTTATGATAAAGAGGTAATTATTCTCAGTATTCTGTGGGCACGGGAAAAAACCCACCTAGTTCTGAGCAAGTCTGTTTGGATTCTGTTGTAAAAGCCAATTATATTTCTTATACAGGAATTGCCAGGTTAAACTGTGCGCAACCAAATATACCGAAATAAAGCTTATTAAAAAAATTGCTTTCCTACAGTATTGGCTACTCCTACCCTTCATGCTTGTTTCAAACTGTCCTTTCAAAAGCGATGCATGTATTAATGCTGACAGAGAAAGCCCAGGACTCAGAGGAGGTGGGAAAGGAACAATTAACGCTTACTTTATTACCTGAAGGGATAGCGTCAAGCCCCACACAAAAAGTGTGATAACCACGGTCACATACATCACAGAACATCATTTCTTCTTCATGGTGAGGCTGCCCACACATAATGCATGTTTTACACTCCATACACTGCCAAGGATAAGTCTTAATCATAGCAACAAGCTCCGGGGTCATATCAAGGCAAGAGGGGTGGCCTAGATTAAAACCAATATTGTTACTGTCACATCTGAAATGAAATTTAGAATTAGTTAGACTGTTTGCTTTTACAGAAGCTGAAGCTTAGCTCACCTCCTGGTGAGGTCCCACAGAGCACCAAACGTGCCCCAGCACATGTAACAGTAGAGAGAGATGGAGCCTTAACGTGGGACAGAAAAGGCAACTGAACGGGTGGCACGCGAGTGTGGCACGCTCAGTATTTCCACAAAAAGATCTGTCACACAAACTCCCTTAGGAATCCGCTTAGTGTATGCAGATACTCACCACTGTTGTCACACTGGGAGCAATGTATAAGAGCTTCAGCTTTTCCTTTCTTGTTGGACTCCTTACCCTTCAGACAAATTCCACATATAGCATTTGGAATGACCTTTGGCTGGAAGGGTAGAAGAGGGCTATAAATTCATTCCAGAAGAATTTACAGGGTTAAAAGGAAATGTCATATATCTCCTTAACTCAAAATTAATGAGCTATCTGTTAGGTTGTGTGAACCTTAAAACGCAAGACAATAACTGACCAGCAGGAGCATTGAAAAGAATCTTAAATTACCTACAAAAAATTTTGCATCTGGCACATGTAGTGAGTTATCTGTAAAGCAAGTCGGGGTAAAAGCACATACTCGCTTCTTCCTATGAATTCACCAGCTAACATTCTCCTCAATGTAAATCAAATGTGACATAGGATGAAAAACTTCAGTAACTTGTTTCCAATACAGAATACTGCTTTATGAATCTCCATGCAGACTTCCTGTTTACGGAGGAAATTAAATAAAATTTTCCATTTGTGTTACATTTGTCCCTAAATACAGAAAATTAATTACAAAAGCAATAAACTTGATTTTTGTATCTTTAGTTTCAAAATATCTGGTTAGCTATGCTGTATACAGCTGTCTCTTACCATGCCTTCTTGCACCCAGTCATAATCGCTGTAAGAACTACACACCCTTGCCTTTAACTACAGTTTTACATTCATCGTCTTCCTAAGTGATCACTGGGAGCGTATTTGTGTCCGTGAGACCAATTTAAAAGGTAAGAGAGAAGCAGCAGGCTTGCAATGAGTAACGTTTGTGTCCCAACCCAGGAGATACACCAACGGCATTTTATCCCAGCGAGAACCAAGGCAGAGGAATTTCAGGAACATTTCAGTGGTTACACTGTTGGACTTTGAGCTCTGCATAACGAAGTTAGTGAGAAACACGGTTTGAAATTCACACAGTACTCACTGATGTTAAATTGGCTAGTGCCAGAAGTTTAAAAAAAAATGTTGCTGCAAAGGCGCAGCTAGTAGAGGGAGTTCAAGGCAAATCCTCTTTCCTAAGGAGCTGTCAGTAAGCAAGAAGGGTCCCAGTCAACTACCAGCCACATGTGGGGAGAAGAATGAAATTTAATTTTAAAGTAAACAAAAGTGAAAACAGAACTATATAAATATATATATATTTATATAAATTACCAAGAACTTTTGCAATACAACTAATCTTTAAGTGTGTCTATTTCCCCAGATTTCCCCAGCCAGTGTTTTCTAGCACCTAGTAAGACAGTTAAGATCTTGACTCATCTTTAAGTAGTCAGGGTGCATTGCTTTCAGTTTTCTGAAGTTTTCAGTCTGCTTTTTAAGTTAAAACATGGCTATGGTCTGCTTCAAATTGTCTGGTCTGAAGAAAACAAAACACCATACCAGATCTTTATAGGTAACTTCCTTCAAAAGATGACAGAGGCATTCATACAGGCTTTTTTTGCTTATTTATTTTAAAAAAGCAGAGTCAACCTGTTTTATACATAAATATAATAAAACAATAAAAGAAGTCTAACATTCACAAACGTCTCTACAAAATAATAAATATAATGGAAGCAAAACCACACAAACTCTTTTACTGTTAACTATTCTATGTGTCCTACATGTATACCTTTATACCCTGCTCCTCCCAATAGAAGCGGCACGTGCTTAACCTCGTCAGTGTTGCAGCATTAACTCTTCTGTTGTTTAGGCTACATTCTAATTTTTTTGTATTGTGTCTTTATCTACTTCTAAGTAAACCGAGCCTTTCTAGAATAGCAAGTGCACTTTTCTAATCAGACTTCTAGTTCGTTACGGATTTGTGTTTTACTGCCTTTAACGCCCAGCAGCACACTCCCTGGTACTGCCGCAAAGCTAAAGCGAGCTGCTTCTCGGCCACGGTACCTGCGACAGGGCATGCGCAGTGAACACTCTGACACACA